GGGTATTTAGAATACTAGGTAATTTCAAATTGATGAAATGTGGCTCTGTGGTGGAGAGTATAGTTGACTCTATGTATTGAACAAGCTATAATAGTTCTGAGCTGTAATAGTTGTGTGTTAACTCAGTCTCACATCCTCTGAGGTTGGCACTATTTTTTTTTTTTTTTTTTTTTTTTTGTACTGGGGATCGAACTGGGGACCTTGAGCTTGTGAGGCAGGTGGCGGCACCACTGAGCTAAATCCCTGGCTCATGAAGTTGGCACTATCATTATCCATGTTTTATAGATAAAGAGACAGAGGCAGAGAGAAATTAATTAACTTGCCCAAGAGATGTGGCAAACTAGACCTGGAAACAATGGTTTGACTCTGTCATCCTGTCTGCTTCAGTATTTGCTTTGCTTTGTCTGCCTGCTTGTCTTCCTTTCTTCTTCCCCACCTCCCTCCCTCTTTCCTTCCCTCCTTCTCTCCTCCCCCCCTTCCTTCCATTTGTTTTTGTTTGTTTGTTTTTGTTTTTTTGAGACAGGGTCTCACTATGTAGTTGAGACTGACCTGGAACTCACTATATAGCCCAGGCTGGTCTTGAACTCCCAGAGTGATCCTCCTGCCTCAGCCTCCCGAGTGCTGGGATTACAGGCATCCTTCCATTTGTTTTGAGGCAGCCTCTCACTATGTATTTCAGACTGACCTCAAATTCACTGTAGTTCTCCTGCCTCAGCTGCCTGAGTGCTGGGATTACAGGTGTGTGCCACCACACCTGGCTATTTCTGTTTTTATTTATGAGTATTTTGGGTTGGGGCATTCTCTCTGTGCGTCCTGCTTACACTAATGGTCTGGTTTTGTGTAGCTTTATTTTTTAATTTGGTGCCAAGGATTGGACTGGAGGCCCTGCTCATGCTGATCTTGTACCCTGTATTCTGGAGGACTTTGTGGGATGTAGATTTAGGCAGTGTCACTGTTGTTGGCTGCTGGAAGCTTGTGTGCTGTCGTAGATGTTGTTGCACTGTACTGTTATATATTATGTGTTATGCTAGAGACAATATTAACTCACTTTACCCTCTCAGCTGCCCTGTAACTCAGGTAGTAAGTACTACAGTCTTCATTTTATAGATGAATTAATGGGTTAAATGAGCGGCCTGGGGGCACGCAGCTGGGATCCGAACCCATGCTGTCTGGTACCAGAGTCAATGTTCCTATTTTTCACCGAATGGAGGCTTGTCTTTTCTTTGTTTCTTTTTTCTTTTTTCAGTACTATAAAGAAAGATTTGGACCAGGTGTGGTGGTACACGCCTGTAATCCCAGCACTTGGGAGGCTGAAGCAGGAGGATCACTGTGAGGTCTAGACTAGCCTGGGCTACATAGTGAGTTCCAGGTCAGTCTCTACTACATAGTGAGACCCTGTCTCAAAAAACCCCCCAAAAAAGAGAGAGAGATTTGGTCTCCAGACCCGTATCATGTAATAATTAGTTTTTCCACTTTTTGGTCCTGATAGAAGACATGTGTGTCACTCAGCTTCCAGACTACCACACCATGTTAACCTATTTGTTTGGCAGCCAAAACTAAGAGGATTGACATTTTAATTAGCTTATGAGGGTGGACAGATTAGCTTATCTGGATAATGTGTGAATTCAGTATATTTTTTGAAAAATTATAAAGAGCTGGCAGGCAACCTGATGTTGCTATTTTGATTCCTTAGTGCTCTAGGCAGCTACGTGGGAACCACATGTCAAAGAAGCTGCAGACAAGGATTTTTTGTTTGTTTTTGATTTATTTTTTACTTCAGATGCTTGAAGTAACTGTGCAGAATGCAAAAAGGATTGATACTGGTTTAACAGATTAAAAAAAAATTGAGGTTGATGCTCCTCTGGGTGAAAATTCTGCCTTGATCTTTGAGGAGCTCTCAGAGGGAGCAGAAAGCAAACTTAAGGTTTTATTTTTATTTTTTTTTATTTGAGTCTTGCGATTTTTCTTAAAGATAATTAATAAGAATGATATTTAGATTCCTCCCAAAGTACTAGTACGATGCCATAGGAAAAATTAAAACTAAATTTCAGTTAATGGAAACAACAGAGATGCTGTTTTGGGGGTAGGATTCTTGCATTGTGTGATTATTTATTGTCAGAGCAATCTTGAATTTATTATGGTGGTTAGTGCTCGCTGCTATCTGCCAGACACTCAGATGACCTCCGGAACTCCAATTTCACACATAGCACCGCGTCTGACGTTTGATTTCCTCCCTCCCCACATTTTCCACTTCTGCACAGTACCTTTAACCCTCTAGTTGCTCTGGCCCAAAAAGTAGGCATTATTCTTGTTCCCTTCTTCCTTTCCCATCCTCATAGGTCATCCCTCAGCAAACCCTGCTGGCCTCGCCCGAAGTCCTCACGCCGGGGCTCCTTATCATTGCCGCACTGGCTGCCTGGGGTTCTGGGCATCATTTCCGGCCTGGACTATCCCAGTGACTTTCGGGCTGCTCTGTATGTCTCTCCTTGCTGTCAAACTGCAGTTTGAAGGATCCTTTAGTGAGATCAAGGTGCTCCTCTGTCTGAAACCTGTGGTCCTTTCCCATGTCACAAGGACACTTTACAGAGTCCTCTGAGGTGCTGCGAGATCTGTTCTTTCATTAGCTTGCTGGCTTCGGCTCTTAACTCTGCCCCTCATCTGTTCTTCACCAGAGTCTACTTGACCACATCAAGGGTGTTCTCGCCTGTGCCCTTGATCTGGTGCTGCCCTTTGCCCGGCACACTCCTCTTCCTCACATCTGCATCACTCCTTCCTGGGCCCGATTGGTTGTCACCTTAAGGGACAGGCTGTCGCTCGCTCAGCACATGTGGGGCCCTCTCCGCCTCCACCTCCCTGGCCCCACACTTCCTATTCCCTCACCCTGCCTTGTTCTTTGTAGCCCTCAGTGCAGTCTTACATTTCATTTATGTGCCTGTTATTTTTTTGTTTTCTGTCTCCTCCCATTATAAAGAAAGCTTCCAAGGGGCAGAGACTGAGTCCTCAGCGCATAGATGCCCACCATGGGTGCCCAGTGTCTGCTGCATGAGGTCTCTCTTATGATCTCAAGCAGTGTGTGTGTGTGTGTGTGTGTGTGTGTGTGTGTGTGTGTGTGTATGGGGACTGGGATTAAACCCAGAGCTTTGCACTGAGCTGTATCCCCTTTTGTTACTTATTTTGAGATATGGTCTCGCTAAGTCACTAAGTTGTCCAGGTTGGGCTTGAATTTGTGATTCTCCTGCATCAGCTTCCCAGGGTGCTGGGATGACAGGTGTGCACAACCCCACTTGACTAGTTAATTCTTTTATTTATTTATTTTTTTCCTGAGACAGCATCTCACTATGTAGTTGAGATTGACCTGGAATTTACTAGGTAGCCCAGACTGGTCTCGAACTCACAGCGATCCTCCTGCCTCAGCCTCCCGAGTGCTGGGATGACAAGTGTGTGCTACCACCCAGGGATCGAACTTGGGACCTTGCGATTGCAAAGCAGGCAGCAGCACCACTGAGCTAAATCCCTGGCCCACAATACTTCTTTTCTTAAAAGGCCATATTGAAGCTGGGTGTGGTAGCGTATGCCTGTAATCCCAGCACTTAGGAGGCTGAGGCAAGAGGATCTCTGAGTTCGAGACCAGCCTGGGCTACATAGTGAGTTCCAGGTCAATCTCAACTACATAGTGAGACCCTGTCTCAAAAAGCCAAAAAAAAGGCCATATCGAAATGTAATTTATGTACCATACAGTTCACCCATTTTAAAGTGTACAGTTCAGTGATTTTAGTATACTCACAAAAAGCAGTGCTCACCTTAATTTCAAGACATTTAGTCACCTCAATAAGAAACACCCTGCCCTGTAACTGCTACCTCTTGCCCTCTCTCGACAGTCCAGTCCCGAGCAAGTGGTCCTCTCTGCATCTACCTCTGTGGATTTGCCTCTCTGAACAGTTCCCATCAGTGCAGTCATACTGGCTTCTTTCACTGGCACCCTGTCTTCAAGGTTTACCCAGCTTGTAGCAATTTTCAATGTCTCTTTTCTTGTCTGATTACTAGTTGCTTGTATGGATTCTTGGTAGTTTGTGGAGCTCGGTTTAAATGCTCCCCACCCCCATGGGGCTGGGGATGCAGCCCAGGGCCTCATGCTGCTCTCTCACTGGGCCACACCCCCAGCCATCCATTCTGTTTACTTTTTTTTTCTTCCATTAAGCATATTGGTACATTTTAGGTATACAGTACAGTTACATTCTTCATTGGGATCTTGTACCTTTACATGACAGGTCTTGGTTCTCATTTCTTCCCTGTTTACTCTTTAAAACTAAGAAATATCATTTCCAGTTTGCAGGTGAGGAATATGAGGTGGACAGAGCCAAACAACCCATGCAGGTCACAGAGCTACTAGGGGTGCAGCTCTGATGTGTTTCTGCCCCATTAGGGTCTCCTGACTGTGACCCCATTTCATACACACTAACGAACTTCACGGTGGAGAACTTTGACTGATATGACCTTAAGCAACTCATGAAAGTTTGCACCACAGTTACAGATTAATATGACACTGTGGGCATCCTGATACCATGCACCGAAAACAGCACAGTGTCGTTTCTGTGACATCTCTGCAAGAAATGCATTACCTAAATGTAACTATGAGGAGTATCAGACAAATTCCAAGTAGGAGACATTCTATAAACCTATTGCTATGTTGTACTCTTCACAAATTTCTAACCAGCCGGACGTGGTAGCTCACACCTGCAATCCCGAACTCAGGAGGCTGAGGCAGGAGGATCACCACAAGTTTGAGGCCAGCCTGACCTGTATAGCAAGACCCTTTCTCCCAAAACCAAAGGGGGAGGGTGTGACCATGAAAGAATGGCATAGAGGGAGCAAAAGACTATTCAGATTAAAGACCAGCAAGAAGTCACAAATGGTGTTGCACAATACCATGGACCAGAAGAAAGGAATGAAAAAAAGAACAGCTTCTGTTTTCATCTTTTGCCATCAAGGATATTACTGAGCTACTTTGAGAGGGATCTGAGGATGTAACTGTAGTGCATACTGTCATATGACACGTTGTCATAAAGTTTGTTTTGTTGAGACAGGGTCTCACTATGTAGTTCAGGCTGGTCTTCAACTCACTATGTAGCCCAGGCTGGCCTCAAAATTCATGGTAATCCTCCTGCCTCAGCCTCCCAAGTGCCAAGATTACAGGCGTGTGCCATCATGCCTAGCTCCAAGTATATTCTCATTGCTTTGTTAACATCACCACCATCCATCCTAGATTGTTTTCATCTTCCCTAAATTGTATACTTATAAAACATAAACTCCCTGTCTTTATGAAGGTCACTACTCTAGGTACCTCATAGAAATGGAAATATGCAGTATTTGTACTCTTATGATTGGTTTATTTTACTTAGCTTTTAAATATCCTTCCACCTCTCAACTTTTTTTTTTTTGTTGTTTTGTTTTTGTTTTTGCTTCTAGGGATTGATTGAACCCAGGGCCTTTTCACTGAGCTACATCCCTAGACCTTTTTCTTATTTTTTACTTTGAGACTGGGTCACACTAAGTGATTGAGTTACCCAGGCTGGCCTTGAACTTGCATTTTTCCTGCCTCAGCCTCTCAGAGTCTTGGGATTACAGATGTGGGCCACTAGGCCTGGGTCACTTTTGTAAAATCAGGTTTTTTTTTTTGTACCAGGGATCCAGCTCAGGACCTTGTACTTGCGAGGCAGGCGGTGGTGCCATTGAGTTAAATCCCCAGCCCTGTGAAATTTTTTTTTGGATTTTCTGGTAGGGTCTTGCTATGTAGCTCAGGCTGGCCTTGATGTTGCTGAGACTGGCCTTGAATTTACTGGGATTCTCCTGCCTCAGTCTCCAAAGTGCTGGGATTACAGGTGTGCACCACCACACCTGGCTCTGGCTTACCTTTTAGCTCTTACAAATAATGCTGCTATGAACATGGTGTAAAAATACCTGTTAAATCTTTCTTTTCATTATATACTCAGAAGTAGAATTTCTTTTGGTACTGGGATTGAACTTGGGTCCTTGCACTTGCGAGACAGGTGGTGGAACCACTGAGCTAAATCCTCGGCCCTAGAATTTCTGAATCATGGTGTTATCTGTGTGTAATTTATTGAGGAAGGTGAGTTTAAAAAATTATCTGTATAGATTCTAGGTTTCCTGTTCTATTCATGGGTTATAATGTGTTAATATCATTTTATTGTGAGCTACAAGTTTCTACTTGGCCAGTGGGAGGTCTTTCAACCTGGCTCCTGCAGCCCTTTTGACGTGTCCTCTTTGGAATGCTGCGTGCCATGGCACAGTAAGATGCTCTACACTCATCTTCTTTTATTATCGCAGCCCTGGAATCAGCCATTTCGTCAGACACGTGCAGTTCCTTTTATTGCAGAAAGGTGGTTAGAGACTAGATAAGGGTGTTGTTGTGCTGATTGCTACCGGGGTGTCATTGCTCCCAAGCCTTTGCAGAAGAGAGCTAAGAGGTGCACACATGCATATGCGTTCTGTCTGTCTCTCTCGTGCTGGGGATCGAACCCGGGCCTCATGCATGCTAAGCATACGTTCCACCACTGAGCTACATGCTTGACCCCCTTCCAGTCTCTCAGCGGCCCTTCCCCGAGTTTACACTGATAGATTCAATTGCAGTCGAATGCTTTTTCTAGATTCCTCCCATCCCATCAGTGAGAAGACCCCTGGTGCCCTCAGTAGTTTTACTTAGGAAGTAGCTTATATTTTGCTTACTTTACCGTCTCCTTCTACATGCCTAGGGTCCTGACCTCATGGACTGCCTTTGGGCCTTGCCCCACCCATGTCCCGTGTGAATAGCCCTGGCCCCAGTCCCACTGACCTTGGCCCCGTCCCCCTCCTGCCTCAGCAGCATCTCAGACCCCTCCCGTGAAAAGGTGTGGAGGGGGCGCCCCCACGGAGGAGAGGAGAGGGCAAAGAAGTCCTTGTCCTCAGCCCTTCCATGCGTAGCCCCCAGCTGTTGGGGCCTGGAGAGATGCGCTGCCAGAGTCCTTTGTTTCTCATTGCTCTTGCTCTTTCTTTTAAAGATGGTTTCACCCAAACATCACTGGCGTGGAGGCGGAAAATCTACTGTTGACCAGAGGAGTCGATGGCAGTTTTTTGGCGAGGCCTAGTAAAAGTAACCCCGGAGACTTCACACTTTCAGTTAGGTAAGTTGGAAACGAAGGAGAGAGCAGGGAATCCTGGAGGGTCCCAGGTAGGAAAGGGTGAAGCCACACTTGGCCGCTTCCTGCCCTTGCAGTGCCTGGCCCGTTCATGGGGCTTGTGCCGTCTCCTGCACTGAGAGGCTTGGGACAGTGACATCCTTCTGCCTGGCACCCTTTGCCTGGGTGGAAGTGGGCACGAGTTGGCTGGATTGTATAGGACCCGGGGCCCTCTGGTGCTGGTCTTGGATCCACGCATCTTGAACCAGGTTCCTGCATTTTTTCTTACCCTGCTGTTGATTTCTTCATGGGAAAAAGACTTTGTAAGAGTTTCTTGAGATCACTTTCCTTTGTCAAGAAATAAAACAGGGCTGAGGAAGTTGAGGTCCCCTTTGTTCCCCTGCCCAGTCCCATTTCCCTCCCTCTCTCCCCAGAGGAAACCACCATCCCGAGGTTGGCATAGATCCTTCCTGAACATGTTTTTTCATAAGACTGTATTTGTACACTGTAGTTGGCTTGCGTGTTTTTAAAGTTAATACAAATGGTTCTGTAATGTGTGTAATGTTTTACAGGTTAAAACATTTTTTGAGTCCTGTGCTTTCCAGATACATCTGACTATTCACCTTAGTAACTATTTAGTAGTCAAATGACATGAACATTCCAATTTATCCTTGGGTGATGGATGTTGGGTTGCTTTTAATTTTTACGAACAGTGTAGTGAACATCCTGTCATATATTTCTTTGGGAAGATGCAGGGAGAGTTTTTCTAGAAGTTGATTTCCTCTTATATGCTCACTTCCCTATACTAGCTCATTCTACCAGCTAGAACCAAACTGCTTTATGAATTGACTTTTAAAATCATTGTTTTAAAGTAAAGCGGTAAGTAAGACGTTCTCGGGAATTTATGTAAGGTTCTTTCAGACTCAGGAAGTCCCTTTTGGCATAGATTAGTTTTTGAGAAGTCCCTGTCACTGGCTTTTACTTCCGTTTTACTAGAAGGAGTGGGTAGGCGCTCTCACAAGTCCTCTGGGCTTCTCTCAGCATTTGCTTCTAACCTAACATGGTGACATTCACACTGAGGGCATGAGTAGAGATTATAGAACAGATATGACAATGGCAAATGTTGTTGAGGACTGAGTACACTGACACTGTGCACACACTTTATTTAATAAGTACCACTATTACCTGGGCAGGAAGCTGAGGCCCAGAGGTTAAATTGGCAAACCAGTCTCATAGTTGGTAAGCAGAAGGGCCAGGACCATGGAACTGGCTTTAAAATTTTTTTTTCCTTCTTTCCCCCCTAGTTTTATTTTGAGAAATTTCAGAGAAAAGTTGAAGGATGGATGCAGGAAATACCCATATTCCCTTCAGCAGTTAACGTTTTGCCATGTTTGCTTTTTCTCTTTTTTATTGTGTGTTTATGTGTGTAATATACACTTTTTTGCCACCTGTGGTGGTGCACACCTATGATCCCAGTGCCTAGGAGGCGGAGGCATGAAGATCGCCTCAAGTTCAAGGCCAGGCTGAACCACATAGTGAGACCTGTCTCAAAAAAAAAAAAAAAAATTATATAGTATATACATTTTTCCCCACACCATTTGAAAAGAAAGAGCAGATAATGATAACATTTATTTTTACCTGTAAATACTTAAGTGTGTTTCTCCTATGAGCAAAGATATTATGTATAACCACACAATGCGTTATTATATATGAGATTTTATTTTGTTATGTAGTGGTTCTGGGAATTGAAAGGAGATTTTAAAAGTACTGATTAGATAGTATTATATAGTAGACAGCCCATATTGATTAGTTCATATTGATTAGATAGTATTATATAGCAGACAGTCCATATTAAAATTTCCCTTATTAGCTGGAGGTGGTGTTACATGCTTGTTATCCCAGCACCCTTGAAAGCTGAGGCAGGAGAATTCCAACTTAGAGCCCAGCCTGGGCAACTGAGTGAGACCTTGTGGCTGAGTGCAAAGGCTCTGGGTTCCATCCCCAGTAATGAAATTAAAAAAAAAAAAAATCCTCATTATTTTAATAGCAGTTTTTGTACATCTTTACTTTTTATGTGTTTATTTACTTTTGTGGTGCTGGGGTTAAAACCGGGGTCTCGCAAATGCTCTACGACTAAGCTATATCCCCAGCCCATACTTTGTTGATCTTTTTTCTTTTTTTTTTTTGAGATGGGGTTTTTCTGTGTATCTTATCCTGGCCTTAACTCGCTATATTTCTCAGGGTGACCTTGAACTTGTAATGCTTCTGTCTCAGCCTTCTGAGTCTGGCTCCTTGCTCCACATTTTTATACCTTGAATTAACACGTAGTGATTGCACAAATTTATGTGGACTAAAACTCCAAACTCAGCCAGGTGTGGTGGTACATATCTGTGATTTCAGCTCTTGGGAAGCTGAGGCAGGAGGAACATGGGCGGAAGCCACGCTGGGTTCATAGTGAGTTCAAGACCAGTCGACTACACAGGGAGACCCTGTCTCAAAAAACAGAAAAAAAAAAGGAGGGGGGCCGGGGATTTAGCTCAGTGGCCCTGTACCTGCCTTGCAGTTGTAAGGTCCTGAGTTTAATCTCTGAGACCAAAACAAAAACCAGAAAAATCCCCCAAACCCAACCAAACAAAAACCCTCATGCCTAGAAAGCCAGCTAAAGAGGACCAGTCAGTGCATTTAATTTTTGTGTTTCTACTCCCCTTTAATCTAGAACAGCCCCCTCCCCAGGCCTTTTTAACTTAGATTTTAGTTTTTGACTTTTGGGCATTGCTATTTAGGCTAGTTATTTCATAGTTTGTCCCCAAACTAGATTTGGTGGTTGTTTCCTCATTTTTAGATTTAAAATTTTTTTAACCACTTGTAAACTGTGGTTATTTTATTGTTGTTGTTTATCTTTTTTTTTGGTACCAGGGATCAAACTCAGGTCCTTGTGTGTGCGAGGCAGGCTGCGGAATCACTGAGCTAAATTCTCGGCCCAAACTGTGGTTATTTTATTTTATTTAATTAATTTTTTTTTTTTTGGTGTTTTGAGACAGGATCTCACTATGTAGTTGAGACTGACCTGGAACTCACTATGTAATTCAGGCTGGTCTCGAACTCATAGTGATTCTCCAGCCTCAGCCTCCCGAGTGCTGGGATTGCAGGCATGAATCACCACGCCTGGCCTTACTGTGGTTATTTTAAAGGAAGGGGATAAAACAGGATGGGAGCCATCTTTATACTATCCTTACGTATTCATAAAGCAGAACATTTTATGTTTAAAACCCTTCTGCATCCATAGTATCTTTGCCCAACTAATTTCTGTTTTGGACCTCACTAGAATTGCATTCACTCATTTGTCTCCAACCCTGAGAATAAGATGTAGTCTTCAGTTTTAAGCAAAAGATTTAAATATTTTTGACAAGCACAGTGCATCGTTGGGGTTGGTCAGCTGATTTTTTTGCATCAGAAGCCACTTCAGATGCATTTGCCCTACCCTTTGGCTGTATTCAGTCTGTTCCCTTGGTAAAGGCATTGGTCAATTTTGAAGTTATGGTTTTCTTTTTGTAATTAATAAGTGATCTGTGAGAAGATAGTTTAGGAAGTGTAAATTTCTTCTTCCCTCACACATTTTCATGCGATATTTTTAGCATTTGTTGGCAAATTTTACCTGAGTGAATATTATCTTGACAATTGGAAATTCACTGTGTAATTATTATTTCTTTTTCTTTTTCTTTCTTTCTTTTTTGAGAAAGGGTCTCATTATATAGTCCAGGCTGGCCTCAAACTCACAGTGACCCTCTTGCCTTATCCATCTTCCCCTGTGCTGGGATTACAGGCATGCGGCACCACGCCCAGCTTCCAATTGCTATTTCTTTTACATTTATTAACATTCATCTGTAAAGAAGTACTCTAACCAGCCCCCATTCCTCCTAACTGCCCCCCCACCAATCCAGGGCATTATGCATGCCAGGCCGGTGCTCTATGTACCCCTGAGCTACACTCCCAGCCCTGTTCCCTTTTTCAGTATCACTATGGACCTAAGCTTGCCTTTCCTCTTCTTTGTATCAAATGTGTTAATCAGATTCATTGGCATCATTATTCTTTCTTAATCAAATTGCTCCAGATTTGGTGAAGTAGTGCCTTTATCTTTTTGACATTTCTCTAGTAGTCTTTGAGTACTTCTTTGAGACACTTCAGGTGAGTCTTGGAATTTTCCTTTTCCAGGCCGGGAATTCCCATTTCTCTAGAAAGGCCCTTGATTCTTCTAGTGATGGGGGATGGTATTCAGAAATTGAGGTCTAGGTGCGAGGTGTGTGTGTTTATGCTCCCAGCTGTCTTTGCTTCTAGGTTCCTATAGTGAGTGGACAGAGCTGGGAAATAAATATTTATATATTTAAAACCAAGTGTTCTTTCTGATAGTTCTGGTTCAATCCAACTTCCTCCTCTTCTCCCATTACACATTTGTACTTCCTGTGTCCTGCAGGAGAGCTGTTGTTTTCAACAGCATCAGTGACCTCATTTGCCCAGTCCTAAAATTAAAAAGTTTTAGAATTCGTATAGTACCATCTCTTCTAATTATAAACCTCCTAAATAAAGTTTAAGATCTCTTTGGAGTCATCTTGTTCACAGAGTAATGGTATAGTGTTTGTACTATCTTTAGTAGTTATTAGAATTCATTTTCTGGATAGGTATGAAGTTACATAGTTTTGTTACTTCCATTTATATTTAGTTTTTTGGTCTTTATTGATTTAATTTTTATTTATTGAGCTTGTGAAACATGTATAGGATTCAAAAATCAAAACTGGCCGAGCATGGTGGCATATGTCTATAATCCCAGAACACAGGAGGCGGAGGCAGGAAAATCACTGCCCTGGACTATATAGTTCAAGGCCAGTTGGAACTACATAGTGAGACACTTAAAAAAAAAAACCAAAAAACTCAAAATTGAAAACTGTAAAAAGTCATATTCTTAGAAATCTCATTCTTATCCCTACCCTTACACAATATCTCTACCCCTGTAAACATTAATTTACTAATTTTTGGTTTATCTTGTGTGTGTGTTGTACCAGGGATTGAACTCAGGACCTTGTGCTTGCCAGGCATGGGCAGCACCACTGAGCTAAATCCCCAGTCCCCTTATAGAAAATTTTTATAAACTTTTTCATCTTTTTAATCAGAGGCATGTAGCACTCTAGCCTGGGAATATTCCCCAGCTTCTTTGTTTAATCTCTAACAGACAGCAATTTAGTTTTTGCCAACATTTTAAAATATCTAATGCCTCAGTGAACACACATAATAGCTTTGTGCATATGTTTGTTATTTTGTGCTTTTGGAAGTAGATTTTCACAGTGAATCCTTGGGGTTGAGGACATATGCACATAGAGTCAGGCCCTTGTGGGTCTCGCCAGCAGGTGTGAAGCTGCCTGGATTTTTACAGCTCCACCAGTTGAGTGCTCTCAAGCTTTTCATTTTAGCCAGTCAAATGAGAAATGGTATCTCAAGTGAATTTTAGTGTTCAGTTGTTGTTGTTGTTGTTATTTTGGTACCAGGGATGGAACTCAGGATCTTGTGCCTGTGAGGCAGGCACGGTGCCATTGCACTAAATTCCCGGCCCAGTGTTCAGTTATTATTGAAGTTTTAAGTTTTCAGTTCTAAAGCTATTTGTACATATTTTCTGTGAATTGTCTTAGAACCAATGCTTTTTTTTTTCCCCTTTTGGCGGGTATGGGAATTGAACTCAGGACCTTATGCTTTGCAAGACAGGCACGGTGCCACTGAGCTAAATCTCTGGTCCCGGTTAAATAGCAAGCCCAGGGCCTCACACATGCTAGGCAAGTGCTCTACCACTTAGCTACGACTCCCAGCTCCAGAAGCGGTGCTTTAACTACTCTCTAACATTGATGCCAAGTGTTTTTTCTCTTTCATTGTGCAGTGCTGGGGATGAAACCTAGGGCCTCACACATGCTAAACATGTGTTCTACCACTGAGTTGCACCTCTAGCCCATCTGTTTCACTCTTTATATTCTTTGATATATAAAGAAAATACAGGGGAAGCAGTCCTTATTTGAGCCAGTCCTTATTGGGACCAGAAGTGTTCCAGACTGCAGATGAGTTTTTTTGTTTTTGTTTTTTTGAGACAGGGTCTCACTATGTAGTTGAGACTGACCAGGTACTCATCATGTATCCCAGGCTGGTCTTGAACTCACAGCGATCCTCCTGCCTCAGCCTCCCTAGTGCAGATGAGTTTTGATTTTGGAATATTTGAACATACATAATGAGATATCCTGAGGATGGGACCCAAGTCTAAACATGAAATTCATTGTGTTTCATATTCACCCATGCAGGTAGCTGGAAGGTAGTTTTCATACAGTGTTTTCATTGATCTGTCACATGAGATCAAGTGTGGAGTTTTCCCCTGTGGTGACATGTTGATGCCCAGAAAGCTTTGGAGTTTGGAGAGTTTTGAGATTAAGGGTGTTCAGCCTGGTATGGTACAGGTGCTGTTGTATACATGTGGGTATGCTCCCACGTATGCATATGTATTGTATACGTTGTTTTGTCTGTCTGCAGGTGATGTAAACTGTTTGCTCTGCTGCAAAACTGCAGATTATGTTGTCTTATTCAGTTGGCCAGGGAGAATCCCCTCTTTTTAAATTTTGATAGAAAAATACAGAAAGATGTAGAACATTATGTTATAATCACTCATTTATTGCCAGTCATTTTTTTCCCTTCAAAATAAAGTAAAATTTCTTTTTAGCTATTGCCATTGAGCCTGGTCTCCTGATTTCCCTAGAGGCAGTTACTGTCATGAATTTGGTATATGTCTTCCTAATTGATTAAAAAAAAACAAACAAACAGAACCAGGCATGGTTACACCTGTAACCCCAGCATTCTGGAAGGCGGAAGCTGGAACATTGCAAGCTGGAGTCCAGCCTGGACAACATAGTGACTTAGCAAGATCCTTTCTCAAAATAAAAAATAAGAGGAGGAGTAGGAATATAGCTGAATGAAAGGCCCTGGGTTTATTTCCTAGTAGTGTGCACACGTGCGTGCACACATACTGATGTTGATGTAGCAGACACTCTAATCAGAAACACTCCATCATTCTAAAAAGTTTCTTTGTGCCCTTTCCAGTTTTCCTCCCGACAAGAGGCAACTACTAGTCTCATTTCTATCCAAGTAGACTAGACTAGCTTTATCTATACCATTTCGTATAAATGAAGTCACACAGGATATCCCCCCGCCCCTCGCCTTGTTACAAGGCGTCACTCATGGAGGTGAACTTTCTACCACTGGCTACATCCCCAGCCAACTTAATGCTTTGGAGATTCATTCATGTTATAGTGGCCCCTGTCTCTCTCTGTCTCCTTCTCATTGCTTTTGCTTTGTGGTATCAACATGCCACTATTTGTTTATGCATTTTTTGGATAAGCATTTGACTTTTTTTTTTTTTTTTTTTTTTTTCTTTTTTTTTTTTTTATGTAGATCTGCCCCTTGGTTTGGCCTCCTTCTCTCTTCACGTTGAAGGGAACCCGGCTGTTTTCCAGGGGCAGGGCCCACAATTTGGGAGCCTGAAGAGGAGTGCTTTCCTCTCCTCTCCAGATACACACATGTGCTCATACACGTGCATGGCTGCTTCCATTCCACCTTGGGTGTTTCATGAACCGCTGAGCTAAATCCCTGGCCCAAACTTGAATTTTTTTTTTGTACCGGGGTTCAAACTCGGGAACTTGCACTTGTGAGGCAGGCGGCAGAACCATTGAGCTAAATCCCTGGCCCGGAATTTTCAGTATTTTGAAAATGCTATAAATGTCTGCAATGAATACTCTTGTATAAGTGTTCTGATGTCTTCCATTCATTCCATTTGGGGAAAATACTTAGGAGTACATTTGCTGGATTATAAGGTAGGTATGTATTGTCACCTGGTATATACAGTTTATTAGGTCAGTCCTTAGAATACCAGATGTGCAAGGTTACAGACACTTAAGAAAGCCCTTTGGTTGAGATGATTGACTATGGGTTATTTCACCCTCATTGTATTTGGTACAGGGTTGGGGTAAATTTGTACCTTGGATTTCAATTTCTAGGTAAAATCTGGTACTGAACATGAGACCCATTTTTACGAGTATACATTTTTATTTGTTTTTTCCTCCCTCTTTGCAATGGACAATTTTAGAAGAAATGGAGCTGTCACCCACATCAAGATTCAGAACACGGGTGACTACTACGACCTGTACGGAGGGGAGAAGTTTGCCACTTTGGCTGAGCTGGTCCAGTATTACATGGAACATCATGGGCAGCTGAAAGAGAAGAATGGAGATGTTATCGAGCTCAAATATCCACTGAACTGTGCAGATCCTACCTCTGAAAGGTCAGTGGTTTCTTAGTGACCACAGAGTCTACAGTTCTGCTGGGCCCGGTGTGTTACACGGATATGGAGAAAGTGGACCATGGGGTGTGTAATACTTCAAAAACTGTCATCTTTAAAGTATTATTAAAGGAAGCAGCTGGGCATAGTGGCACACGCCTGTAATCCCAGTGCACAGGTGGCTGAGGTAGAAGGATTGCTGCAAGTTGAAGGCCAGCCTGGGTTACATAGCAAGAACCCTGTTGAAAAAAAAAAATAAGAATAATGGGATTAAAATTGTTTTGTCCTTATAAAAGCTTCAGTTAGTTGTTTTTTTTTTTTCTCCCCTGGTACTCTGGTACTGAGGATGGAACTCAGGACCTTGCGCTTGCCAGGCGGGTCTTGCTCTGCTGAGCTACATCCCTGGCCCCAGTTAGTGTTACTTACCTCATTGTACAGGGGCCACTTACTACTGCTGTACATACTCAGTATGTGCAGTAATTGTAAGATTTATTGAACTTCAGATAATCTTTGGGAGTTATTAAAGGAAAACAAAACGTAATGGTGATGCTAAAGTAGCTTGCTGGGCATGGCAGTGCCTGACTGTAACCCTAGCACTTGGAAAGCTGAGGTAGTAGTATCACGAGTTGGAGGCCAGCATGGACTGTCCTGTCTCAAAAACAAAACAAAACAAAAACCAAGGCCTGGGATTTAGCTCACTGGGGACCCGCACCTGCCTTGCAAGCTCAAGGTCCTGAGTTCAATGCCTGGTACCACAAAAACAAAAAGCAGGAAACAAATTAACCAAAACACCAGCAGTTCTCTGTGGTGGCTCCCCAACCGTTGTTCAGCAGTGTCACCAACAGATGTCAGTTTAAACCCAGAAACGGAAAGCGAATAACTCAGGGCCAGCTTCTCCATCGTTCCTGCAGGGAGACATCCACAAATGTGTGAAAGCGACCTTGCTGCCAGGCAATGGTATTCATGTAAAGATCTTTTCCTGAGTGCTGGCACTGAGCTGATGAAGGCTGGGGCTTGGTTTATTTGTATTGATTGCATTGGTTTTTCTAATTCTCAGCCTCCTTTCTGACCCACTAGAAATCTGCATCTCTTAATTAGCTTTGTATCTTCAGATTATTCCATCTTTATGTCATTGCTGTTATGTGTTCATAATTTACTTCTTCGGCTCCCACTATACATCCAAGCAAGGCTACGAGTCAATTCTGGAGTTTATTTCTGCATCTTACTCTTTCTTTTGTGGATAAAAATGACGTGGCCTATTCCTTTAGGGATGAGCCGTCGGTGGATAGCCGATCGCTTGTCCTCCCTTAGCGCCAACCTGAGCAAAAGAGCCATGTCCTTAATGTGACTCTGTGAAGGTGTTTTCCATGACAAGTTACTTATTTTTTATTTATTTATTTTTTTGGTTTTTTTTGAGACAGGGTCTCACTATGTAGTTGAGACTGATCTGGAACTCACTATGTAGCCCAGGCTGGTCTTGAACTCACAGCGATCCTCCTGCCTCAGCCTCCTGAGTGGTGGGATTACAGGTGTGCAGCACCACACCCAGCTTCCATGACAGTTTAGAGCAGCATTGTCTGTCCTCCAACGATCTTGGAAGACCTCTGCCTGGAAGTCCTGGTTAACAGTACAGGTTCCTGGGCTCCATTCAGACTTCTGTGTGTTGCTGTCTCTGGTTGTGGGGCATAGGAATTTTTAGCCTTCTCCCTGTCTCCAAGTCTTACATGCATTCAGCTTTCAGATGATAACCCAGTGTTGGAGACCATTGAAGTATAGGTTGGAAATACGGAAAAATTTGGGATGCTTAAATTAATTTATAATGATCTTCGAGGCAAAAACCATAAACATCAAATTTATCATTTTAGCCATTTTTAAGTTCTTGTAATTTGCATTTCCCTAATGGCCAGAGGTGTTGAACTTTTTTTCATGTATTTATTGGTCATTTGTACTTCTGAGAAGTTATCTTCATTTGAGTTGCCCGCTCCCCCCTTTTTGGTACTGGGACAGACTTGGGACCTTGTGCTTGTGAGGCAGGCAGTGGCACCACTGAGCTAAGTCCCCGGCCCTGAGTTGCCCATTTTTTGATTGGGTCTTTTATTTGAGGGGGTACTTTTTTTTTTTTGGTTTTCTTTATATAGTCTAGATATTAGTCTTCTGTCCTAGGAATAGCTGGCAAAATTTGTACTCCATTTTGTAGGCTGTCTCTTCTCTCTTGCTTGTTTCCTTTGCTGTGCAGCTTTTTAATTTGAAGTGATCCCATTTATCTCTTTTGAAGTTGGTGTTCTGTTGAGAAAGTCCTTGCCAGTAGTGATGTCTTTAAGAGTTTTAACTAGTTATCTTCCAACCCAGTTTCTATTTTAACATGTAGTCTTTGGTCCATTTTAATTGCATTTTTTATTTATTTATTTATTTATTTATTTATTTATTTATTTATTCATTCATTCATTCATTCATTCATTCATTCATTTATTGGTACCGGGGATCGAACTCGGATCCTTGCGCTTGCAAGGCAGGCCACCGAACCGCTGAGCTAAATCCCTGGCCCTTAATTGTATTTTAGTACATGGTGACATATATGGGTAGAGACTGAATTTTTGGCATGTGGGTAGCACCATTTATTAGAGAAGCTCCTTCAGCATAAGTTTTTCGTCCCTTTATCAAAGATCAGGTAGCTGAATGTGCTTGGGGTTGTTTCGGCATCCTCTATTCTGTTCCATTGATACATGTCTTTTTTTATGGGGGTGGCCAACAACATGCTGTTTTTATGTTTTTTATTGTTTTCTTTGAGACAGGGTGTGGCTCTGTAGTTCAAACTTGTCTTCAACTCACTATGTAGTCTAAGCTGGTCTTGAAATCCTGGTGATCTTCCTGCCTCAGCCTCTGAAGTGCTGGGATTATAGGCATGTGCTACCATACTGTTTTTATCACTGTAGCTTTGTAGTATAAGCTAAAGTCTGGAATCGTGATTTCTTTCTGATTGGCTTTTGTTGCCCAGGCTCCCTTTGCTATTCTAGGTGTCTTGTAGTTCTATGTGAATTTTAAGATTGTTTTCTCTAGTTCTCTGGGGAAGACTATTGGTATTTTCATTGAGCTTGCATTAAATCTGTATATCAGTTGTAACCACTTTTTTTTGGTGGCAGGAATCGAACTCAGATCCTTATGCTTGTGAGCCAGGTGGCGGAACCCCTGAGCTAAATCCCCGGCTGGATAACAGTTTTAGAAATAGGGCCATTTTGACTATATTGCTCTGGCTATCGAGGAACAGGGGACATCTTTCTATGTTCTGATGCCCTCTTTAATCTCTTTTTCACAGTACTGTAGTTTTCATTGTAGAGGTTTTTTACTTCCTTGGTATTTAATTATGCTTAAAGCTGTTGTAAAAGATGCTGATTCCCTTATGTCTTTCTTGGCAAGCTTATTATTGGTGTACAGGAACACTATTGATTTTTGAGAGTTGACTTTGTATTCTGGTATACTAATGAATTTGGTTCTTAATTGTAGGAGTCTTTTGGTGGAACTTTTTGGGTTTTCTATGTAGAGGGTCATGTCATTTACAAATAATGATAATTTTACTTCTTCCTTTTGTATACCCTTCTAATTTTTTTCTCTTGCCTAATTACTCTAGCTAATGTTTTGAGAACTATACTGAACAGTACTAGTGATGGTGAACATCCTTGTCTTGTTCCCGATTTTAAAGGGAAAGCTTTCACCTTCTCTCTGTTGAATATGATGTTGGCTCTTGGTTTGCCCTAAATGGCTGTTTGTTTGTTTGCTTGAAACAGGGTTTCATAGTTCAGGCTCGCCTTGAACCTATAATGTAGCCCAGGCTGGCCTTGTACTCTCAGCAATCCTCCTGCTTCAGTCTCCTGTGTGCTGGGATTACAGGTGTGCACCACCACACCTGGCTGTCATAATGGCTTTTATCAGATTGAGATAAGCTCCTTCTATACCTATTTAGGGTTTTAAAAAAATTTTAAGTGGGGGCTGGGGATTTAGCTCAGTGGCACCACGCCTGCCTTGCAAGCGCAAGGTCCTGAGTTTGATCCCTGGTACCAAAAAAAAAAATTAGTGGGTTCTGCTAAAGGCTTTTTCTATATTATTTGAAATGATCATATGATTTTTGACCTTGCTTCTGTTTACATGGTGTATGACATTATTGATTTGTGTGTGTTGAACCATCCCTGCGTACCTGGGATAAATCCTGCTTGGTCATGATGTATGATCTTTTCAATGACGTATCCTCTTTGCCAGAGCTTGTTGAGGACTTTCTACATTGATGTTCTTTAACATGTTGCCAGTTTGAACCACTGGTGGTGTGTGCATGACTGTCCAACATCAGATGGCTTGTACCACTGAGTTCTAGCTGCTTAACTCAGACAATGAAAACTGGGCGTGGTGGTGCATGTCTGTAATCCTAGCACTGGGGAGGCCGAGGCAGGAGGATCCCTGCAAGTTTGAGGCTAGCCTGGGCTACACAGGGAGTTCACAACCAGCCTTAACAATATGAAACCCTGTCTCAACAATAACAACAACAACAACAAAAACCCAAAAAATTAGACAATGGAATTGAAATCAGAGCTGCCTATTATGGCAGATTGGCTTGTAATTCTTTTTTGTTTGGGTCCTTTTCTGGTTTTGGAATCAGGGTAATGTTAGCTTCCAGAAATGACTTTGGGAGTTCTTCTTCCCTTTCAACTTCATTAAAGAGTTTGGGGAGTATTGGTGTTAGATCTTCCCTAAAGTGCTTGTACAGTTCGGGATTGAATCCATCAGGACTTGGGCTTTTCTTAGTTGGTAGTTTATTATTATTATTATTATTATTATTATTATTATTATTATTATTATTACTTCTTCAGTTTTATTCCCTGATGTTGGATTATTCAGATTTTTTGTGTTTTCTCATGTCAGTTTTGGTAGTTCATATGTATTTAGGAATTAATCTATTTCTTCTGAATTTTCCATTTTATCAGAGTACAGTTTCTCAATGTATACTAATCTGGATTTCAGCAGAGACTGTGATTTTTGCCTTTTTCATTTCTGATGTGTTGATTTGGGTCTTTTCTTTCTTTTGTTAAGATTGGCTCGTCTATTTTATTTATTCTTTCAGAGAACTAGCTCCTTGATTTATGGATTCCTTGTATTTTTTTTAATATTGATTTTTAATAACTTTTGCTCATATCTTTTTAATTTCCTTCCCTGTACTAGCTTTGGATTTGGATTGTTCCTGTTTCTCTAGGACCTTGAGGTTATCACTGGGTTGTGTACTTGGCTCGCTCTGTATTTCTAATGTGGGCATTCACAGCTAGGAACTTCCTCAAAGGTCTGCTTCCGTTGTGTCCCATAGGTCTCCATATACTGTACTGGCGTTACCGTTTGATTAGGCACTGTCTAATTTCTTCTCTGACCCACTGATTATTCAAGAGGGTATTGTTTAATTTCCATAGATTTGTATAATTTCTGACTTCTTTTGCCATTGATTTCTAGTTTCATTGCCCTGCGATGTGATAATATGTGTGGGATAATTTCAGTCTTTTGCTTGTACTTAAGCATGCTTTATGGACTAATGTGGACTTTGGAGAACATTGCATGTGCTGCTGCAAAGAATGTGTATTCTGTTATTGGGTGGATATCCACCCTCCTTTTGAGACAGGCTCTCGCTGTGTAGTTCAAGCTGACCTTGCACTCACTATTTAGTCCAGGCTGATCTACTCGCCGCAGTCCTGCCTCAGCCTCCTCAGTGAGTGCTGGATTACAGGTGTGTGCCACCACACCTGGTTTAGATATCTGTTATAAAGTCCATTTTTTGGAACGTTTGGTTCAACTCTGATATTTCTGATATTTAAAAAATTCTTTTGTGTGTAGTTCAATCTGCAGTATTGCAAAAATAATTGGTGGTCATTCTTACTTACCATCTTTGTCATTTTTTGTGCTTGTATGGGGTGCCAGTTCTGTTGATGGGCATCATCCTGTCCCTGGGAGGAATGTGTCTGTTTTCACATTGTGTTCAGGAGAGCTGACTGTATGTGGTAGTTTAGTGAAAGAATATTGTGAATTCATGGCTGAACTCAATTTATTTTCATTTTAAAACATTTTAGGTGGTTTCACGGTCACCTCTCTGGGAAAGAAGCGGAGAAATTACTGACTGAAAAGGGAAAACACGGTAGCTTTCTTGTCCGAGAGAGCCAGAGCCACCCTGGAGATTTTGTTCTCTCTGTCCGCACAGGTGACGACAAAGGCGAGAGCAATGACGGCAAGTCTAAAGTGACCCACGTCATGATCCGCTGTCAGGTAAGGCCCCAGTCCAGCGACAGGTCCAGGGAAATGTTCTCCCTGGATGTTTTTTTCTGCAAGGAGAAGACAGACGTTGTTACATCCCAAATCAGATTTTCTTTGTTCATTTAGCCAAGGCCTTGTACTCTTTTTAATATGTTGTTTATTGGGATTCTTTCGTCCCTATCAGAACTCTGAAGTGTTCCATTTCCAGTGTGGGCTGGCAGATGAACTTGGGCCTCAGTGTATTGCCTCTGCTCTGCAGTGTTTATTTTGCTTCTGTGGCATGGCTGCTGGAGTTGGCCTCCAGGTCTCCATTTCTGCAGAGCCAGCCTCAGCTCATCCGTAGGATTGTCACAGTCTGGCCTGGCACTGTACATTTGGCCCTTCGTATCTGTGGTGTTGTATCTTTGAATTCTCCTGCTGGGAGTTAGAAGTATTTGGGAAAACCGATTGTTTCTGTGCTGAATATATAAGGACTTGTTTGGATCATCGTTCCCTAAACAATGCAAGATAATTCTTCATACAACATTTACATTCTGTTATGCAGGCCTCCGTATATTAGGTATTAGAAGTCATCTAGATAGATTTAAAACATACAGGAGGAGGTGTGTAGGTGATATGCAAATACGGTGCTGTTTCATTTAATTTTATTCCCCCTTTTTTTGGTGCTGGGGTTCAACACAGGGTATTGTGCTTTCTGAGCACAAGCTCTGTACTCCTAGACCCCTTTTTTGTTTTGTTTTGAGTCTCTCCCTGTTGCTTCCTTTCCTGTGTACTACAGCTGTTTGATCTATTTTTAGGAGAGAGCCAGGCTTTGAATTTCAAATGGAAAAAAATTTAGTTTTTTACAGTTAGACTGATTAATATAGCCATGCAGATTTACCTGTTTTTAAAAAGTGAAAACACTTGTGATTTACTTTGAGCAAGTTTTAAGTGTAGAAGACATTTGTTATTGACATAGTCATCACAGGGTACATCAGGTCTCAGGACCTTAGTCATCGTGCTTGAAGTCGGGACCTTTTGACGTGTATCTCCTCCTCTTTCCCACTGTGAAGTCCCTGAAAACTGCCATTAGGCTTCGTTGCCTTGAGTTTGATTTTTCTCTTTCCAAATTTCTCATAAGGGTAAATTTATGTAGTATTTGTCCTTCTGTGCCTGGTTTATTTCACTTAACATAATATCCTTCAGGCTCACACAGGTTGCAAATGCTAGCATTTCCGTTTTCTCTCTCTCTCTCTCTTTTTTTTTTTTTTTTTGGTACTGGGGATCAAACTCAAGTCCTTGTGCTTGCCAGGCAGATGCTGGAACCACTGAGCGAAATCCCTGGCCCTCGATTCTCTTTTTTAAACTGGTATTACGTTGTGATTATATTATATTCCCTTCCATTATATACAGAGCACCCCTCCCCCATTTTCATTTTTTCCTCTCTACATGAACACAGATTATTTCTGTGAATAACGTGGCAGTGACCATGAAAACCATGTGGGACAACCAGTGATTAATGTACAGATAATAACCATCATCTTTTTATCCTGGAAGGAACTGAAATATGACGTTGGTGGAGGAGAACGGTTTGATTCCTTGACAGATCTAGTGGAGCATTATAAGAAGAATCCTATGGTAGAAACATTGGGCACAGTACTCCAACTTAAGCAGGTGAGCACGTTGGTGAACTAAAAGCTCCTCAAAGTTTAAGAAATGCTAATATTAAAAATAAAATCCTAAGAATTTTCCAAACATTCACAGCGTGTCAGTCAGCTTTTCATCACTGCAACAAGATACCTGGGAGAATCAGCTGAATAAGGGAAGAGGTTTACTCTGGCTCTGGATTTCAGAGGCCTCAGTCCATGGTTGACCCTGTGGCTTTTGGGCCTCTGGTGGCACCGTGCGTTATGGCAGGAGAGCATAGAGGGGCCGGTGCCCCGTGTAGTGGCAAGAAACCAAAGAGACACAGAAAGGGTATGCCCACAGTTCCCTAACTTCCCCACCTACTAGGGTGTCTCCCACATCCCAGTAGTGCTGTGGGCTGCGGATCAAGACTGATCTGTAGTATACAACAGGAGTCGGCAGCATCAGTTTTCATGTACCCTCACCCATCTTCAGTTAGAGTCAGCTCTTCAGATCTTTATTACTTCACTCACTGTTACCTCCTGTGATATTTATGGGTTGTTTTTGCTTTTTTGGGGTGGGACAGGATCTCACTTTGTAGTTTAGGCTGGCCTTGGAACTTGTGCCTGTCCTCCTGCCTCAGCCTCCTGAGTGCTGGGATTATAGGTGTGTGTGTTCCTCTTGTGATATTTAGGAACAAGTTCCAGATGTTGTATCAGGTCCATGTGTATCTGTGAAAATCCTTGCAGAGTTAGTTTTTTATTTTTGTTTCTATTGGTGCTGGGGATCAAACCAATGATCTCATGCCTAATGAACTGCCAAACATGTGCTCTACTGCTGAGCTATTCTCCCGGGCTCCTTACTGGTTTTTATTTTTTTTTGAGATAGGGTCTCACTATGTAGTTCATGCTGGCCTCAAACTTGCAGCCTTCCTCCTCCTCAGCCTTCCAGGTGCTGGGATTACAGGTGTGCGCCATTGCAGCCGGCTCTCCTTACAGAGTTTTTGTTTGTTTTGGTACCAGGGATCAAACTCAGGACCTTGTGTTTGCCAGGTGAGCGCTGTGCTGCTGAGCTAAATCCCTGGCCCTCCTTATAGAGATTTAAAAGAAAAATTTCACTTTGGATCCACCTTTGGTTAGTTACTTTAGTTGTTCATACTTACTTTTATTTCTTTTGCTACCGGGGATCGAACTCGGGTCCTTGTGCTTGCGAGGCAGGTGGCAGTACCACGGAGCTAAATCCCCAGCCCAGCACACTTACTCACTTTAGAGTTGTTATTTCAAAGTGCACCTTTTTGACGACGGCAGTGTCATTCCTAAATCACATTGTGTTCTATTCATAAGGAAAAACAAGTGAATTTATATTAGCAAGGAAAGTATGTGTGAAGATTGAAGAAAGATATATAGTATTTCTCAGCAGAGCAGAGGAGACAGTGCAACTGCGTTTGAAAACTTCTGTTTTGAATCACTGTGTCCTGTGAATCTCCTGCCTTTGCCTTTGTGAATGTAAGCATAGAAGTCTTTTCCCCTCTGCATTAATACTGTTCTAAAAAGCATTTTCTTCCTTTTCCACCACCTGCTGCACTTGGGCAGCCCCTCAACACAACTCGTATCAATGCTGCTGAAATCGAAAGCCGGGTTCGAGAATTGAGCAAATTAGCCGAGACCACAGATAAAGTCAAACAAGGCTTCTGGGAAGAATTTGAGGTAGGTTGTGAAGAAATTGTTTGTATGTGAGGTATGAAATTTGTTTTTAATGGCAGAGACGTTGGCCTTATGTTTAGACTTGGATCTGAAAGACCTGACACCCTTTCTTAATTCAGCCATTGATTGACGTGTGCCGAGCTGCCAAGGGGGCTTCTTTGAAATAGAAGAGCATTGTCTTCCCAGGCAAGGAGTTGGCAGTGAGCACTGGCAGGACGAGCCAACAGCTCCATTTGGCTGTTTTGGTTTGAACCACTGGCAAAACCTCAGAAAAATGAAAAGACCTAGTTCTTCTGGAAGATTTCCCAGCATTCACTGGGTCTTTAGAAAGAGCCAAAGAGAAATACCTCCCATTTGCTTTAATATGGGAGTTCAGATGGACAACTTTGGGAAGTTTGGCAGACTCGCTCCTCTCCTGACACCTACATGGGTAGGAGAGTCCCTGATATAGACGATCCATGTCCCGTTAGACCCCTTACATGTCACTTACCCTTCGGTGCTGCAGCCTCTTTCTAGTTGAGAGAGGGAGAGCGATGATAGAAAGCTACAGTGAAAAAGCACTGATACCCCCGAGTCAGTTTTTGTTGTACTTTTTCAGTGTTGCGGAAGGGACCCAGGGCATCATGCATACTAACCGTTTGCTCTGCCGCCGATCTGCACCTGCAGCCCTCCCAGTTCTTTGAATCCTTCAGTGATGTGTAGTCAAACTGCTACTCTGCGCTCCCATTCGTTTGTAATGGTCCCCCTATGTGGTCGTTCACTAACTAGACTTCATCTGAGCCTATTGGTTGCATTTTACATTTGAATTTTAGAAATGTATTTCTGCTGTGGTTTATTTATAATTATGTAAAATACTGTTTGATTTTTAAGCCCAAAAAACAAATCTTTAAAGAAGTTTGCCTCCTGTCATTGTCCTTTCCTTTCTATATTTTTGTTACAGTTTAAAAATTTGGGCTTTATTACATGTTCACAATTTCTGAGATAAACAGTGGTGTTGCTGATGTACCTTTTTCTGGCCTTGCTTTTTGTCAACACCTCAGACAACTCCATTGTGACACACAGAGATGGCCTTCATTTCTTTTTGTTACTGCACAGGGCTCCGTTATACAGTTGTACCATCATTTATGCAATTTAGGATGAGCACTTGGATAGTTTCCAGATGTATTGCAGAGGTTTATAGTGCATGACCTTGTGAATGCATCTTTCCTGTTTTTGTCAACCACTTTTTTTTTCACTTTTTGAGATTGGGTCTCACTGTGTACTTCAGTCCTTGGACTCAACTGTGTAGCCCAGGCTCTCCTTGAACTTGTCAGTTCTCCTGGCCTCAGCCTCCCAGTGCTGAGATTATAGCTGTGCTCCCACAGGCCTGCCTTGCTGACCACTCTTTTTTTGAGACAGGGTCTCCCTTTGTAGTTCAGGCTGGCAGTGAACTCAGTATGTATCCTGGGCTGTCCTTGAACTCAGTGATCCTCCTGTCTCAGCTTCCCAAGTGCTGGGATTACAGGTGTTCACTACCATGCCCAGCCTGACCACTTTTTTTTTTGGTACTGGGGATCAAACTTGGGACACTGTGCTTGCAAGGCAGGTGAAGGTCAGCGGAACCACTGAGCTAAATCCCTGGCCCTGACCACTCTTAATAATATTTCTTAATATTCCTTGTTAAAATAATGATGGCTTTTACTCATTCTTTTTTTATATACATGAGTTTGGTTGGCATATGTAACATCTGAAAAATACTGTTTTAAAAATTTTGGCTAACAGGAATATGGAGCCATTTAGTAACTGAGGCCCCCCCCCAGGGGGGAGTGAACCTGAGCCTTTACACTGAGCTATATCCTTAGCCTTTAAAAAATGAGATAGGTTCTCACTAAGTTACTAAGTTACTCAGGCTGAGCTCAAACTTGTGATCCTCCTGCTTCAGCCTGCCACCGTGTTGGGATTACATGCATGTGCCACTGTACCCAGACCTATTTATATTTATGTATTTTTACATTTTATCAGTATATATTTGCAGTGCATAATGATTACATTCTTCATAAACCTATTTTAATTTTATACTTCCTTTTAAAAATAGGAGCAGGGCGCTGGGGATTTAGCTCAGTGGTTCCAGAGCCTGCCTTGCAAGTGCAAGGACCCGAGTTCGATCCCCAGTACTACCGCAAAAAAAAAAAAAGGAGCAGGGAGCATGGTGATGCACGCCTGTAATCCCAGTGTTTGGGAGGCTGAGGCAGGAGGATCACCTTGAGTTCGAGGCTAGCCTGGGCTACATAGTGAGTTCAAAGCCAGCCTGAACTGCACAGCGAGACCCTGTCTCAAAAAAAAACGAAAACAAAACCCTCAAAACAGAAGGGCTGGTGATATAGCTCAGAAGTACAGCACTTGCCTAGTATGTACAACACTCTGGGCTCTACCCGAGTACTGCCAACAAAAAACAGCTAAATCATACCTGAGCTAGACATTATGGTGCACACCTGTAGTCCAAACTACTCAGGAGGATTGTTTGAGCTTGGAGTCTGAGGCCAACATGGACAACATAGAAAAACCCTGTCTCAGGGCTGGGGATTTAGCTCAGTGGTTCCTCCGCCTGCCTTGCAAGCGTAAAGTCCTGAGTTTGATGCCTGTCTCAAAAAAAGGGGGCTGAACTATAGTGTCAGGTTCCCACCCTCCTTTTTTGAGACACGGTCTTACTAAGTTGCCCAGGCTGGTCTTGAACTTTTGATACTACTGCCTCAGCCTCCTGAGTAGCTGGGATTTCAGGTGTGGGGTCGCTGTTTTTGGCCCAAAATTAATAGCATTTTTAAAAACTAAAAACAACATTTAGAGAAATAAAAAATTACCTGCTGCCTGGTACAGTGATGGATTTTTTAACACCAGGTTTGAGAATAGTGCTTAGGAAAGCCATTTCAGAACTTCCCAAGGAGCTTGTGGTAGTGTTTTTTTTTGAAATAGGGTCTAGATCTGTAGTCCAGGCTGGCCTCAAACTCACAGTACTCCTCCTGCCTCAGCCTCCTGAGTGCTGGGACTGCAGGTGTGTGTCAACCCTGGTAGGCAGTGGGGTTTTTCATGATCCAGTTGGTGAGTTAAGATGTGGAAAAAGATGGCAATTGTAGATGCTGACCTGATGGTTTTAATCTGTGACATATGCTCAGTCCACCTGCCCTACACCATTAACAACTAAAAAGGAGAAGAATTGAGTTGGCCTGGGGGAAATGGAAAACACGCTCTCTGTAGAGGTCACACTGCCATAGTAAAATTGTCTCACACTAAATCAGGGCATTAAGGTTTCGTGGCTGCGGAAAGTGTATCTGAAGAGCTTTCTAAAGCTCTACCGTATCTGTTTCTCCAGTTCAGTCAGTTTTAAAATATGGCCCCTTTAAGGCAGGAGCCAGGAGAATAAGGCTTAAAACATAACAAACCATCTTAGAAAAAAATCAGACACTTGGAAGCAGATACTTTGTTGTAATTTAAACCCCTTGGAACCAAATTTGATCCAAAGAATAAGGAAGGCCTTATTATTTTAGTGATTGTGCCTTGGTGATTGTTAATGATTGTTTCTGCAAAGGTGATACATTTGGGATCACACCTTTCTCACAGCATGCTCTGATGGTTTTTAGAGCAAATCCAAACTAAATTTTCATGTTGGTACTTGATGTATTTTTTTCTTTTTTGGTACCAGGATCAAACTCAGGACCTTGATGAGCCAGGTGTGGTGGTGCACGCCTGTAATCCTAGCACTCGGGAGGCTGAGGCAGGAGGATCACTGTGAGTTTGAGACCAGCCTGGGCTACACAGTGAGTTCCAGGTCAGTCTCAACTACATAGTGAGACCCTGTCTCAAAAACAAAAACAAAAAAAACAAACTCAGGACCTTTCATTTGTGAGGCAGGCAACGGCACCACTGAGCTAAATCCCCAGTCCTTGTTGCTTTTACTTTAATTCTGGCAACCTTTTTTGTTGTTTGTTTGTTTATTTGTTTGTTTTGTCTCTGTATCCAGCTCCTGGTTTTAGGTTAAACTATTCATTTGAGGTATACTTTCTGAGAGGGCATTTAAAAATTACTTTTGCTTTGGACACATCTTAAAATCTGAAGCCCTTTGTGCAGCTCTTTGGTTATTTTCTCTTTTGCTGCAGAAATGAGTTTAGGCCGATGATTTTTTTCTAGGATATATTGTATGATCAAAACTTTCTGGGGTCGGGGATTTAGCTCAGTGCTTCCGCTGCCTGCCTTGCAAGTGCAAGGTACTGAGTTCTATCCCTGGTACCAAAAAAAGAAAGAAGACTTTGTGAATCCAGGTCTAAATTTTCTCGGTGCTTGCCTGGTATTCATGTAATCATCTTGTATTTCTTGCATATCTCTGCTTATGAACGTAAAAAGGTGACTAATGAGCCAGGTTCACGCTTGTAATCCCAGCTGTTTGGGAAGCTGAGGTAGGAGGGTCATGAGTTGGAGGCCAGCCTGGAATATACCTAGCAAGACCCTGTCTCTAAATAAAATTTTATTTTTATTGTTGTGTTTTTTTTGGGTATCAGGATCGAACTCAGGACCTTGCACTTATGAGGCAGGTGGCAGTACCACTGAGCTAAATCCCCGGCCCCATGTTATTTTTTTAATTTATTTTTTCCCCATTAAGTTTATTGGTACAATTAAAGAGAACAATACAATAGTCATATTCATCATTGGGGTCTTGTACCTTTACATGATATGCCTTGGTTCTTATTTTTCCCCCATACCCCTTAAAATAAAATTTGTAAAAAAAGCAGGGGGCGTTGATCCGGGTTCCTTAGCTTTAACCCCCAGTACTGCCCCCCCAAAAAAACCCAAAAAAACAAAAAAAAGAGGTAGATATCAGATTGGTTGAAACCAAATTCGATTCAGTTGAGTCTGACAGTGAATCACCAAGAAGGCAGGTGACAGTTTGTAATTCTGTGCCTGTAGTGTGTGTGCCATTTGAGGCTTGAATCAGCGCCATGCATTAAGATGTGGCTGTGTTCTCCTGGTATTTG